TGTGTGTGTGTGTGTGTGTGTGTGTGTGTGTGTGTGCGATAAATGATGATTATATGACGATTTCAATTTCAAATTAGTTATATGAAAATTCGATTTTTGAATGAATTTCGCCAAAATATTTTCTGTATTCGCTATTTTTCAGATAATTTTTTTTAGTTGAAGAAAAAAATTAATAGTTAACATTTTCTTTATTCTCTTCCTCTCTCTCTCTCTCTCTCTATATTTGTAAATCATTTCAAATATTAGGATGAATTTTCTATATTCTGTAAATTAATCTATCCATTGTTTGCATTATATTTACGAATTAAAGATTATTTTTTTCTGTTCAAATTTAAAAAATACAAAATATCACTGATAATTTAATATGACACACATGGAGTGAAAAGGAGGATAAAGAGAGAAAAAAAAGACAGAAAGATGTTATCATCGGTTAGTTGCAATAATTCTTCAAAGAGTATTCCCGAAAATTCCCCTTACTTTTTCCTCTTTTCCGCTTCTCTCTCTCTCTCTCTCTCTCTCCCTCTCTCCCTCTCTCCCTCTCTCTGTCACTCTTCCTCTCTAATCTTATTTCTGGAGACAGTTTTTTTTCTTCATTTCGACATAAACTCATCATAAGATCTATATGTTACAAGTATATTTAAATACAAACAGAAAGGGAGAAGATGTTTGATCTTTTCTTTTTTTAAAGAAAACCATAATTTTGGATTTGATGAAAAAAAGCATAACATTCACTCATGTTTACGAAGGATTAAATTTTATTATTTAATATTTCAAAAATGAATTAATTGTTAAGAAATTGAAAAAATTACCATCGAATTTTAAAAAGTATTAGCAAGTTAAAGAAATTACCCAAAAAAAAAAATCCTCAGAAATTTCGGGGAATCAAATCCTTCCCATCGTTCTTTCTCACTCTCTCTCTCTCCCATTTTGATTCTTCAAGGCAGAAATTTTCGCACAACATGGTTGGTCTCGTGGTGTAGCGGTTATCACATCTGTCTAACACACAGAAGGTCGGCGGTTCGATTCCGCCCGAGATCAGACACCTCTACGAGGGCCCCCTATTTTGGAAAAACATCGACAATACTTTCACCGATCGACCACTGGATTTATCGTTAATCCGCTAAATCGTTTCAGTGTAATTCCAATACTCTTCAAATAGCTAATCTGGACGTAGGCCCATACGATAATCGAGAAACGCAATTACTTTCCAATAATTAGCCCAATTTTCTAATTAAAATAACACACATGTTAGAAGAATGAAAAATTAAACGAAACGGTTCAGTTGCTACTTTCAAATTATAAAAATACCGGTATTATTATCACATTATTGATCAATCATTCATTCCAACTTATCTCCTAAAACTGAGTATTTGATAGTGCAAAAGCAACAAAATGAGAACATTTAATAATTCCTATCGAACAATTATCATAAAAACAATTATTCCGATATGAACAAGATCAACAAATGAACAAAATAATAATGTTCTTTTTAATATCACTTTTGATCACATATCATTCTATGTGACTTGCACCATAAAGATAGATGGAAATATTAAATCTACTTCAGAATAAAACAATCTAGTAGTCATCCTTTTTTTCTCTTGGATTTTAATACACTATTTCATTTTGCAGTTGAAATAATTAACGAAAAATCCATAATTTCTGATGCTTTCCCTAAGAATAACAGGCTTCATGATCTTCCAAAAAAAATTCAAACATTCGTTAACTGCTTTACGCAATTGCTTATTTGACATGAACTTATTTAACAATTAACAAAATGAAACAATTTACTAATGATCCACTACATTATCACTCCTTTTATTTGGCACAATGAACCTTTGATTTCGATGTGAGAAAATTTAATCAGCACTTCATCACCAATCTCCGGCAACTCCTTTGTATTCTTTATAAGTGCGAAAAAAGTTATCGTGTTATGCAGTTTGGCGGTTATGAATTTCTATAAAAAACAAAATAAAAAATTAATATACAGCTGCTATTAAAAATTCAATGGTCCTTAAAATAAATATTGTTAAACATGCTTCCTCTTTCTCTATTAGGCGTAAATCGGGGAAAAAAACAATCGCGGAAAAGTTTGTAATGGTGGTACAAAACCCAAAAATGGAGTAGATAACCCAAGAAAAATTGAAATCAGCACCTGCTGAAACTGGAAACTTCTTTGAATTTTAGCTATTAGTAAGTATTTCTTGCAAAAAAAGATCTCTTATTTTTAAGTATAGAGTAAAATACCTTATCAATAGCTGTCACCATGCATTTATAACTGCTGCCTTGTTTCGGACGAAATACAATACAGTTTACATTTAGATCAATATGCATGCATGGTTGGTCAGCGATACAAAACGGCTTATCAATAATATCTATTTTTCCGACAGCTAATATGATGCCACTTAACCTAAAATACAGTATTATACGAAGCCTTAACAAAGTAAAGTTCAGTGAAGTGTAATTTGATTTGAATTCAAAAATTTAGTAATATAAAACAAACTTCAACACAAATGCAATTGGTTAATATACTTCAAAATAATCTAATTACACAAACTAAATGCAATCAACTACCGGATTTCAAAACAGTTAAAATTAAGTTAAAATATTGTTTTGCTTTTTTTGCAAAAAAATCATTCAAGTTCCTAGTTTTGTAATGGAATTCATTTATTCAAAATAAATTTTACTTGAAATACTTCTGCTTTATACTTCTGCTTTATAGAATTTATCATATCACAGCTTAATTTTGAGCTTTATTCACTATCAACTTTCATCTGTATAGCAATTATTAATCTACAAGAGAACACAAATATGAAATATTTGGCTTCATGCGCTACGTTTATGATAACATTGATCAGTTTCCTCCTGACAATCGAATGGAACCCGATAATAATGATCATGAAACTTACGATTTTCTATACTGACCAAGCGACGAATTTAAAATATATTTGATAGCATTAAAAGCTTCTCCTAACTGATGCCATCCAATCGTTACGTGACGCTTTTCTATAGCAATATGCAGATCACAATTTATATCTGTAGTCATAATTCTGTAATTTTAACAAAACCAATAGATCAGTAAATTAAAATTAATAAATAAAAATATGAAGTGAAAAAAAGTAACTAGCATTTAATAGCTAATTAAAAAACCAAAAGTTTGTCGGCATATTATAATTTCTTTTCACCAAAGTTTTCCTGCCGTTAGTATAGGACATAATTTCGAATCCATTTACAATGGATTAAAATCCATTAGATAAATTTCTATTCTGGGATATTATGACACGAATAGTTAAAGACAAAAAAAGAAACATGGTTAATGAATTTTACCGTTTTAATTTCTGATAACTCATCCCCACATATCGATTCATCCCCATTTTTAGTTTATCATTATGACACTTTGTTGCTTTGTTTTTGTTTATTTCGATAAAGTTTCGCGACACTTCATTTGAATCAATCTCCAATAAATCACCATCGTTTTCCAGTTTTATCCTTTTTATGCTGGTTCCAATGTTATTTTCTGCATTCTTCGATCTTTTTTGCTTACCCATATCTTAATATTCTAATTTTGAGAACCCTAAATTTCGAAATTTAAAGATAAAGTAACAACTTCAACCAAGCTTGTAATGAAACAATAAAAGAAAATAAATAAGAAAATAAATAGTTCCGATCCTGTGATATCAATGTGACCTATTTAGTGAATAATTTTTATCCAAATAATCAATTCTGAAACAAGCACATTATCAAAATCTTAAAACACCCATAATTTGACAAACGAAATCAAATCCATTTTTTTAATATCTAAAAAAAAAAACTAATTCCGATTACTGCAACAGATTCAGCAGCCACAATAACACTAACTAAGTGGGAAAAAAAGCTTTATTAAGTTTGAACATTTTATATGAAAAAGAAATAATATGCGAAGAGAGCCATAAAAATAAATGAGAGAAAAATAAGGCATAATTAGAATAAGATCAAAGAGATGACATATGTAATGAACTATTTAAGCTAATGGAATGTAATTATTTGAAGTAGTAATCCCAAATGCACTTCAAGAAATTGCGCATTGCTAAATCATTGACAAATATATTTTTGAACAACTTTAATTAATTAAAAGATAAAATAAAGATCTTCCACTGTAAATCATGTTTACATAATTAGGCTTAAAATATATTGCAAATGCACTCCTTGCACAATCATCATACTATTGCGCCCTAATAACACGTAATTGATTTGATAATGTTAAAAAATTCCAGAATTATAATTTTAATGGTATATTGGGCCATAAGTGTGCACCCGGTTGCAAATAATTCTGATCGAATCGAAGATCCAAATGTGCTTCCATTGCCAAAATTTTTTCAGCATCACTGCCGTACAACTTTTTCATTTCATTGAATTTCATCTGTCGTTCAGCAGGGTTATTAGGCAGTTGAAACGTTCGTTTTTCGTTGTTATAAACTCCAACTGCAACAGCATGGTTGAATGATAAAAATTGCCTTATTTCAATGTATCTCTTAAGCAATGTGATCTGTACATCTTAAATATGATTTAAGACATTTTATTAATGCTAAAGTTTTCATGAAATTAAAAATACCAAAATACTTCATCATTATATTCATTGGAAAAGTTAATAATAGGCGGTTCAAATTGTCTGAAGCAAATGAAACGAATTATGAAATCAAGATAATGAATAAATAAACAGTAGCGCTTATAAGATTTTTTTGGTGATCATTATTTATCTCAAGATGTTCCTAGCTAGCAAAATCATTCTTTCAAAGTTTTAGCTTAAACGAGCAGCAAATAGAAAAACGAAAGTTACTCTTATCAGCCATTACATAATCATCTTCTCCACAATATTCCAAATGACCGTCTTTATTTTTCTTGGCTTCTTTATTTCGATCAGCATCTCCTAAAACATCAAATATTTAACAGAAAGAATATCCTTTTAACAACAACTGCTGACCGTCTTGAAAAAAATTCCCTAAATTAAAACACTAATTTAGCGAGCAAGTAATTCAAATTACATGCTAAAGGTGATTTCCTTAAAAATTCTATCCCAATAGAAAAGTATACAACAACAAAGAAATACAGATTAACAAGAAGACTAGCACCCTTTTATTTCATTATTTTTTCTCAGAAATCCGCAAGCAAATAAATACTTAAGGTATATCATATACTTGGGTGACTACTTACTCTGTTTCCTATGTTCAATTGTTTGTCGGAAAAAATCAGCCATTTCGCTACTCATGACAATATCTCCATCTACATCTGCTGAAGATGATTGCTGTCTAACATCTGATGAAGAATCATTGCTGCTGGTTCGTGCTAAAATATACCTTTTCTTTAAAAGTTGCATTTCCATTTCTGAAATGTAAACTCTGATAAATATATTCCGATACAACTGATACATTTTTCTATCCTAATCTGCAGAGTTTATCGCATTCAAATCAAAGCCGTTCAGAACATAAGAAAAAAGAGCTATGAATTAGTACTACGAATAATCACAAACTAAACTATGCGTTATCCATCACTATTTCAATTACTATTCATTAAATCTCCTGTATAGTCTCAATGATAAACATCCAATTAAAAATGAAAAATTCAAAACTACTTTGACAGGTTAAGCATAAAATACGTAAAGCAGCAAGAGAAGTACATGATACCTAGAAGTAATAAATATAACCTATAGACTGCTTAAAAATACACCTGTACTTGATAAACGATTACTTTTGACAAAACGCCTTTTACCGCCCTTCGATTTTATATCGACAGAATTCGAAACTGTATTGGATGAATTAGTCATCAAGGATTCACGAGCTGCTTGATGTGCTCTAAACCATTGTAGTGTTGCTTGATGATAGTCCCAAAAGCTCTTTAGATATCGATCATTCATAAACCAAGCCTTATTATTATTATGCATCCTCTAAGTGAAACAAATAAATTAATTGCTATGCTAAATTATGAACAAATATGCAAAAAAAAGCGTGATTCTACGTTCAGAACATTATTTATCAGTTGAAGCAGTATAAAAGAATTCTAAATAATTTAAAAACAATAACTGAATGATGAAAATATCCCTTAACAGTTTCAACTTATTGAAAAAATGCCCCCATCATCTCATCACTACCAATATTAAAAATGAAAGAATGATAACTACTAACGTTATTTATAATCTCAATTAAAAGCTGCATTTGCTATATTCTCATTCAAAGTTTTTAAACTTCCTGTTTTTACATTCGGATAAATAAATGCAATTACATTCAGATAAATATCAAAAAGCATATCAACAGAATATGAAGCAGCATTAGAATCGATAGAATATTTATTATCACTAATGAAGAATCAATCACTTTTCTTTATCGAAAACTATTGAACAGCTGAGAATATGCATAAATGAATAAATAAAAGTACATATGTGGCAATTCCTGTCAGAAAAATAAGCACCATTTTTCTTTTTTTAATAATTTAAATCTGAAAAAAAAAACCAGAAGAAAATAGCACCACCAAAATTTAACATAAAACTCATGATACAAGGATATTCAAATTTCGTTCCCATTGAAACTGCCATTATTAAAAAGAAAGAAAAACAACAAATAAATACTGCATAGTTCTGAGAATATAATAAATATCAATTCATTGGTAACTAGCAAATGCATATACACAGATAAGAAATACTGCGGTACATATCGATTTCGCTTTGTTTTTCTTTTTGTAATTTTAGTGATGCAAATAAAATATTACTGTTAGTTGTTTTGCATTATAAAAACGACAGATATTAAATGAACTACTAAAATATTATACCAATCAATAAAAGATACAATTTATTGTAAACGAAATAATCGAGTTCGCTGATTTTTAAAGATGTAAATGCTAACAGAAAATTTTTTTGCATATTTTGAGTAACCAAAGCCCCTAAAATCAGTTTATTTCTTCCATCATATTTTTAGTTCCAATAGAAGTTCAAATCTAGAATTCAAACATTCAAGCAATCACAATTTTTGACCTAATGTCAATGTAAATAATTTTTTACTCGAAACAACAAAAGCAACTGCAGGGATATTACTATTATTATTATTATTATTATTATTCATACAAACATAGTTCTTAAGTTTATATCTGAATAAATTATGCAGTTATTAAGCATCACGACAAACTTAAGTGACGAAAAGAAATGAGCAGCTTATATGGAACAAGGAAACAACAGACCTCTTTGCAGAACAATTAAAACTTGTGATTCAAACATAACATTTTTAATTACCTTTTATAGTTCAGTTCAATAGTATAAATATGAATTTATCTTTATTTTAAGCATTCCCAAGTCATATCGGAAATAATGAACCGATAATATTTAAGAGAAGAGGTAATTAGTAACAAACAAAAAAGTAATCAGACACAAAAATAATCGTAATTGTTGAGCGATCATATAACCATATGAACTTCACCATCAACTTTACGCTCAGAATGTTGTTCCTCCTCCGCTTTTTTCAACTCCTTCTGGCGTCGTTTCGCCGCAGCTAGGGCTATTTGTCGGCGTTGAATTTCGAACGCTACTTTTTCATTATTTATCACTGGTATATGAGATTGTACTTTTTTCATAACATCGCCACGATTTTCATCGACAGTGCTGGAAATAAGAGGAATTGAAAATTAGGGGATAAATGATGGCATTTTGTTATCATTTGTTTTTCATTTATTTAGTTATAAAAATGCTTTTACCCCTAACAATTCCAATGCAGTTAAAGCAAAAGGCATTCACCTTACTGAGCAGAGTTCTGATTCCGGCAGTGTCCAATGATTTTCACGAAGAAAACTGATTTCGCGGAAATTAGTCTCCAATTCTTTTAGCTCAATACTAATCAATGCCCAGTAACCGGAAAGATCGCTAAGCTTTACCTGCTGTACATCAGAATTTTGATCCTAAAAGATTGATTGTTTTATTACACATGAGAAGTATATGCTTACTATAAAATGATAAAATGGAGAGTTTTCAAATCAATAATAAATAGGTATTTCTGTGCTAATTGGATCACCCGAAAATGCGTTTGAAATGCCAATTTTAAAATTATGATTTCATCTCAAATAAAAACTGTGTATTTGGTGAAAAGCTCACTAGATGGTTTTTGACTAAATCTTCGAACTTTGCCATCTTTTTGTCCAACAGAAGATTTGCTTTTCCAATTGCAGTCCTAAGTGTTCCTGCAGCTTGTTCCGGTATATCTTCTTCTGGAAAAAGACAACAATTAAGTTGGTAATAATTGAAAAGTAAATGTTAAAGACTTCGTAAAATCCTTTATGAATACTGTAGTTGAAAGAAATTGTATAAAATCAGTACCACTTAAAAGATCATTTTTAGCTTGGTCGCAAAGCAGTTGCAAGTTCGTCCGGGCTTCCATTAATAAACTGCGATATGCTTCTCCATCAGGTAAAACAAAATTAACGCCATTTTCATTCTTAACTGTTTCTGCTATTTGTTCTTTCACTGACTGCCCATTTTCAACGTTTATCTTCAAAAAAAGAAAATAATTTGTACTTCACATATGAACTAGTTATTCACAATCAATTTGACGATCATATGAAATCTTTTCAATCCTTACCTTTTCTGTAAAAACAACTGCAGTAAAAATGCATTTGTAGCAATAGCCCAAATTAATTATAAGTTTCCAACAAGCCATAGGAATTAAATCGATCAGCAATTTTATAAAGCAATGGATCTCACTGTACTTTGTGACAAGTATCTTTTAAGTTTATTTATCTGGATCTTTAAATTTCATAGAAATAGTGAGCAATGATCTGACCATTATATTAGTTCTCATAACATTAACGATCTGACCATTATATATTCGTTAGATCTCATAACAAACAGAATAACTGTAAAATCTAACCTCCGACTGATTACCAATGTGTGGTTCACTCTCCATGGATGTTTTCATGAGCGCCTGATGCATTCGTTGCGCAACAGATGGCTTTGGGCTGCTATGCCAGTAAGCTGAATCGTACAACTAAAATCAGCTAATGCAAATGATAGGTAATCTCATTACTGATCCAAGCTAACAAAAAGAGAAATTGCTCATTAGCGGCACTCTCAACATCGAAGTTAGAATAAGTTTTTTGTGTCAAGTTAGTAAAGAAGTAAGTGAGTGTTTATTGAATTTTGATGTTTCATAATGAAATATATTTTTATAAGAATGTCCACCAGGTAACTTGCAATATTTTTAAAAGTTGACAGTAATCAGTTAAGAGGAATCATCAATGCTGATTCTTTTATATCATTTCCCTGGAGAGAATTATTAATTATGACAAAGTAATCCCATCGATAGTACCATCTCGTAAGATGTAAGTGAAAGGAATAAAATCCAATTTTCTTATATGCATGATCCATTCCCTAGTAAGACTCCAATTCAACAAAACTCCTTAACATCACTTGTCAGAAAACTTTCAGTCCGATGACCGATCTTAAAAACCATACTCTAAATCATTAGGACAAAAAATGAATAAGGAATCACGGAAAAATATATTAAAATGGAGTAACAATTGTCAATGAAATTTGAATATTGCTATATGAATGATCAGATATAATAAAATGTGCCACAATGCAATTTTTTTAGGCGCAAGGTCGTTTTTAAATGTGATTACTAAGACGACAAAAAAAATAATTTATGCAGTCGAGAAATCCTCCTAAGAAATGTTTTGTTACATTTTCTTGCAGTAATAAAATTTTTCTATATTTTTTTAATTATTGGAGGTAGTGCCGTAGCCAATCAACAGTTGTGTAATGAACACATACAGAAGAAAAAAAAATGAAAAGAAAAAGTATTTTTTGAATCATAAGAAAATTTTTAAAATATTTTTAATAGTTTAAAAAAGTAACAAACATGGTCGGAAAATGCGAGAGAATTTTTGGGTGTAACAGCAGGATCTAGAGGTTTCGCTGTATGCGTTTCATCCGATATCGTCATATTTTCATTATGAATTGAGTCTTCTGCCCCTCCTTAAAACATGATATCTCACAAAAGAGAATCAAAGCAGATGGTAAAATAAACCTATTAACTTGATTTCACTTTAACTTTGTTTTTTGAACGGCAACTTCCTCCAGCACTAACCTACGGCCAAGAAATGTTTCGAAAGTTTGCATAATTGACTGAATTAGCATTTCATAGTGCTTTAAAAGCAATAACAAAAGCATCGTTTTTTTGGTAATAATGACATTTATACTTGATTTGTAATACGATTATAAAAAAGAAAATTGCCAAGAAACATACCCATGTTTTTCATCTCGCCATTCGAATTGTTTTCAAGTAGATGATCAAAATGTTCCACTAACTGCCGTACAGCTGCTGACGTCCTTGAAATATCATCTCCCATTTGTGAATTATTTCGACTCGTTATTTCTTCCGATGTCACACTGCAAAATTTGGAAATGAACAATTGTGGAGAATTGAAAGATTATTTCTACCAAGAAAATCAAGTCTTAAAGCCAGGGAATTAAACTAAGCCACTCAATTTACATCGTTTTTAGAACGACTAGTATAAGATTTAATCACCATATAATGACACATAATAACCGAAATAGATATCTACTGCAGTTAACAGTTTCAATTATGGCTATATTTACTCTAATCTAACCGTAATAGAATATAAAACTTCACTTTCAATGAATAAATCCTACGACAACTTTCTAGCTATGGTAAAGAAATAATTTTTAGGGGATTGCAATTTCATTTCATTAAATCTTCGACCATTATTCTTATTGTCTTCATTCAAAGCAAAACAATAGGTATAAAAATGAATATAAATGAACAACAATGAAAATTAGTCAAGCTACTGTTATGAGTGCAGAAGATTTCGGCACTCTCCATAACACTTTAGGATTAAAAAATTTGAGGTAAATTATTGAAAATTTAATAATCTGAGTATTGATGACCAAACAGGCACCAATAAAATGCAATTAACCACGACGCTGTCTAATAAACATGACTTTTCTGTGTGAGAAAAATAAATAAAAAGTTTTTATGATGGTAATAAAAAAGATTGGTTCAAAATTCAGAAAGAAACAGAATTTTCAATGAAATTTCTAAAGTTATCAGGAGTGAGAAGTAAAAAAAAAGGAAATTAACATCTACCGATAATTTTGGAAAATCAATTCCCTCAATATTATGCATATTGAAATTAATTCCTTCAATATACATAATAATGAGGGAATTGATTTTCCTCAATATACATCGCAACTATCACTTGATAAGTATGACAAATAAATTAACTACTCTTAATTTAGAATTGATTTTAAAAAATTATAGGATTTAGATTGCGACTATGTTTAATTATAGAAAAAATGTTTAATTATTATTGAATGTAAAATGGGAAAAAACGTTAAGACACAGAAAATAGCCATTACTAACATTTATACCAGTTATGAACGACGTACAAACTGCCATATGAATAATACTGGCTATTGATTTTTAATAATCCTAGCAACCACTTTAATCATTTTTCAACATCATTAAAGCCTTCAAGATTATGCTCTCTGGGAAACGATTCCTACACAAGTACACTTATACCGTTTACATCTATTTGTTCTCTGTTAAGTGGAAAAAGTACCAAATTACTTGTAATCCATTTATGCAAGAAAAAAGATTACTATTTTTTATGCCCTTTTAGCATGTGAACGGAAAAAATAATGTAGTTTTGGCAGGAACAATCTGTGTTTATTTCTTTAAATTAATTTAATTGATATTATACTCATCAATTTCATCATCTGCAAAAATATGAAGCACGAAATCTAATCCAATACTATAGGTTATTTTCTGTAATCATGAAAAGATACAATGAAAGAAATTATCAGAAAGCTGGTAATTCTTCGCATGTTCCAACAATTGACTGCAGACAAAAAATATAACTCATGGTATCGAATTCTGTCAAGATCCAACCTATTTCCATGATTATAAGGTATTCGATGATGACAGCAATCTTTGTATGCTTAATAAAAATTAAAAAAGACAGCAACCTAATGGAAGTTGTTCAGATTTTTGCTACTCTCTTTATACAAAGCAGTATATTCCTCAACATCTATCAGAAAGGTATGATCTTGTTAGTTATATATCCATTAGATTCGATGATATTAGATATATGAGAAATGTTTGATCAAGAAAGCTGTTTCTCATTCTTTTTATTGTTTGATTAAATTTTCATAAAAACGGAGTTATATTAAATGAGAAAATTATGATAACTGGAATCTCCAAACTAAAGAAATGAATATATTACTAAGTACATCTTTCACTATCATTTAAAAAAAGCTACCATTTTTGGAGGAACAATGTGGCATAGAGAATCTAGAGAAGCATATAAGCACTTGGGACAAACAAATTATACAGAGGAAAAAGATACAATTTGCATGACATACTTCAAGACATTCAATTAAACATCGAGCAAGAAAAAAAAAACATTTTAGGATCTCTCATTCAGTTAACTGGTACAACAATAATGTGAAATCAGAGTGAAAGACACGTGATTTTTTTTCAGTGGCAATAAGAATCAGCCAAAAGTGATCGATAAAAAAGTAAATCCAAATTTTAATTTCTTTGTCTTTCTCTTAAATTTAGCTGACATATTACACCTTTTTTACTTTAAAAAAGCTGCTGAAAGGATTTGATCTTTGTCAGTTTCAATTGTGAGTAATTTATCGTATAGGCATAAGAGCACAGTTTACAAATGAATATATAAGAGGGTTATCTCTATAGATATACGATCATTTCCCATTGCTTCAGACTGCATAATGTATAGCATAGTGGAATATGGAATTGAGGACTATTACCCTATTCATCAAATGAAAGTCGATATTGCTGACGAAGGTTATACTGGACTGGAAATAATTAGGTTTTATCATTTTCTAAAATGTATTTATAAACTTGTATTGACCAGCTTCTACCTAACGCAAAAATTTATTGTTTTTCCTTTTTTTGCAAGAAAATATTAAAAAAAGATACTGACTTTAGAAAAAGAATATAAATAAAATAGAAACGATACTTCTTTGGTTTTCCATTGTCCCCCTTCTTTTCCAATAAAAATGGAGAAATGAGAAAAAAGTAAGAAGATAAAAACAAACATCAAAATTTTTTAATTTAAATTTGAATTAGAAGTCACTCAGCGACTTAAATAGAATTTATAAAAACTAAAAATATCGGTTTTTGATTTTTAAAAAGAGGTCTCGTCTCAAAAAGTATTACACCAGAAGGAATCATCCGTTCGTAGTATGACTGCAAGATACGATCATTATCACTGACTTGTCGTCATTGACAACTAACCCGTGAAGGGCATTACTTATCATTCTGTTCATTCATTCATTCTATTATATGCATTCATTTATTTGCATCGCAAAGTCATTCCTATCCGTTCTTAAAAATATTTCTGTAAAGAATGTTGATATTTCAAAAAAAAACTGATAGAAAAAATACTTTCTACTCTCACCTTAACATCAAGTAAGTATTAAAAGAAAATAAAAAAGGAAATTTTAAAATTAAGGCAATGAGAAGCACTGTAAAATGTTATTTTAGGAACAAAATAATTGAACAAATAGTATGAGAATTTACTGATGAGAAGTAAGGTAAAAGAATTCTGCAAAAAATGACATCGTATTTTAATCGGCATTAAATAAGATTAAGTTAGTCAAAAAAATGTTCATTTTTGATGTTTAGCTCCGATATGAGTTAGTGAAGTGAATTGAAATAATCCAACGAAATCCTTAAAAAATGAAATTTAGCATTATGGTAAGTTTGGTGGCATTTGATCTATGAGTTATTATGAGTGCAGCTTTTTCTTTTTTTGCTTTATTGGAAGCAGAAAATGTAAACAAAAGTAATGAGAAACTTCCATAAATGTGGCGATTTTCATATGTAATTGCATGGTACAGAAAAAAAAACAATCATTAATCCAAAAATTTAAATTAGAATTAAGAAATGCGTATCACGTCTCTCTCTTATGAATTTGTATTTCTAATCTTCTATTTCTAAACATTAAAAATAAGAGAGTAGTAGTGATCATGAATACGACATTGTTAATGAAGATAAAATGCCTGCATGAATGTATTCCGGAATCGAAAATTTCTCCTCCAAATTTTTTGAAGATTCTTGTTTATTATCTAATTCTAAAATCCAATTTGACTTCAAACAAAGACATAGCCTATTTATTCAATTACTCTTTACAACGCAGCTTAACTATAAACTATTTAAAAAAATTGCCGCAGGAACATACCTTTTTTGATTATCGTTATTCTGACCATCATTCTGACTGAAAGCTAATTTACGTGTCTCAACAATACTCATGGGTAATTTCGGACGTATGACATTCTGCCGCCGATGAGATTCGTCGATATGTCGATACGGACGACGATAACCATTAAGAGCACAGCTGATACGCAGATACGATGGCACACGGGTGATTACATCAAAGTTATCATCTGGGTGAATACCACTTGTGTTCATAGATAATGCAGTTACACTTCTTTCCATTTCCTGTGAGTCCAGTGAAAAATCAAAAACATGAAATGAAACAATAAACGCTAATAACATATTTTACTGTTAACAGCAACTATTACTTCATGAACAGCTAGATCATCTGAATAACTTTTTCTTATATTTCAAAATGATGAGAATTTTTACTTTATGGCACTGAAAAAAATTTCAATAGACGAAGCATATTAGAATAAATTGGAACTTAAGTAATAAATAAACAATATCCTCAAGTTCAAAAAAAAAATATGCAAAGCTCTACATACATTTGTGTTTTTCTAAATTTTACTTTAGTCAGAAAGCGATAGAATTTAATTGAGTTACTACAACTAAAATCAAACACTTCTGTGTCCTAATACTAAGAAATAAAAAGAAAACAAAATGTCCACAATTATTGTTTGCATATCAGCCAACAATACAATAAAAGAGAAAAATATAAAGTTTATAATAAATGTAAGAGTATACTTATAATAAAATTAAATCAGTTGAAAATTACTTGGTTTTTCTGAAGCGTTAAAAGACGCAGGTCATTCTCAGACACAGTTGGCCTGGGTAATACATCTCCAGAATTGTAGGTTGTTAGGAGATTTGAAGTTGAAAAAACCTAAAATTCTTGTCTTCAAATTGCTTGTACAACAGTCGATATAAAATATCAATCAGTTAGTAATTACATATTGCACGTTATTTCCCATCAAACAATTTGTTGCCTCAATTTAAAAAAAAATTAAAAATCTAAAGAGGAAGTTCTGCATTTGAACAATATTGACGGGATATCTCATAAGGAAACATAAAATATTTGAAAAGAATTAAGAAAGCTTTGAGAAGTAGAACAAAATGAAACTGCAACAATGATCAAAACTTATCCAACTTTACAGGAATAATTAGGCTGAAAAATGGTAGATAAAAATTGAAATTAAATTCAATGGAAGAGATATAATTCTTTAAAAGTGGGGAATAAATTAGGATATAATTATTTCATATTGCATGCGTCACTGCTTGAAGTTTAGGAATGCAGAATTAGCATAATTAGTTCTTGTTGTCGGCTATTACATTTGCCAAAAGTCGCATTCTATTATTTCTGCTCTACTTCTCATTGCATCCAAAAGTTTTTGCTTTTATCATGTCTATTTTTTTCCATTACGGTAGAATGCAAAACAGAAAAGTGAAAGATAAAAAAGTGTCAAACTAAAAGCAATAAAATAGGGCGAGAAGAGACATAAAAACATTACTTGCATTCAGTCTTTTCAAAAAGAATTTCCCAAAAATGTAAGGATCACATATGTATGCAACAAAATATAAAGAAAAAACTATTAAAATCTTACAAAACTATTCCTAAGTAAGATCTTAGAATATGTAAGTTTTTCCTGTTATGTTATGACTTTGATGAAAATGAAAAAAATTGACTTCCGAATCATCAGCGAAAAAATATCAACTATTTTAACTCTTTCAGTAAGCCTAATACTTCTAAATCAAAGAATGTGAATAAAGTTGTTTACTTAGAGCATACAAATGTGGGTGTTATTAAGGACAAATAATAAGACAGCTGGTAGATGTGACAACTGCCATAAATGTGAAGCAATAGCAAGTGTACATCATTAATATCTCAATAGGATAAATTAAAATGAAAATTAGAAAAAGTGACCTACAGTTTCATGGCTGCTGGTGAGCTCATTTCGGGCGGATTGGGAACAATCATGGGCATCGCGATCGACGGAAGATGCTTCACGAGTTTCACGATTCATTGATAATCGATGAATGATACGAAAAAACGGTGATGAATGTCGTTTTGGCTTCGGCGGTGGTGAAATGTGCAATTCGTTTTCAGCATTCAATTCGTTGTCTTTAACGTTTGTCCCCTACATCAAATAATATTATACTACTGGTGATAATAATTCCTTGTTTTTATAGAGGATAATAGAAAGCGGTCAATATGATATAATGTAACTATAAAGGTCACCATCTAACCATCTAAAGTTTTTCGCTTTCTAAAATAATAATAAATAAATACTCCATTCTCAAATAAATACGTAGTTTCTGATAAAAAAAATTTCGCGTGATCATGCAATTAGGGCAGTTCTGCTAGTAATAATAACAAAATAAAATCACACACTTCCCTCGGAGAAAAAATATGACGATCGTCCAGCATTTATAACTGATATTTTTCACAGAGTTATCAATCAAATGATTAATCATTTTTCGAATCATTCCTCATTTCCCATCTACTACTGCTGTTTATCGAAATCACTTCATATTTTTCTAATTTGTCATCCTTCCAAAATAATTGCTTTTTTCAGCCTCCCGAAACAATAAATTGTAGTCTTATTTTCCTTTCATCTCTCAACTACAAGTTCTGATACAGATCCTAGGTTTTATGTTAGAAAAAAGCCTTACTATTTGTTTTTGAAGTTATACGATTTGAATTACATAAATCAGATGATACATTTTTTTGCTGTAGTTTACAAATATATTAAAATATAATATGATACGATGCACGTTTCCCAACATATGTTAAATAATAATTATTCATCTGAGTAATAGTTAATGCCTAAGACACCAAAAAATTTTTGCTGTTGTATCAAAATTTCGAATCCTTACATTCTTGACGGAAGAAATGGGAGAAGTAGGCTGAGTAGGACAGGAAGTAACAGTATCATCTGACATGCACATTGATGGATCTCGTGGGCTCTTGCTGCGTTGCCTCATTGAACCGATTCTCGAGAAAAAATGCCCAATCGCTGATGGTCGCATTTTTGGCTCGGTTGTATATTTTCCCATAACTACAATAATCTTTTCATCCAAATACCGTTACACAATGAACTTATTTAAATTTGGTTTTGAAAAAATCTCGAGCTCATATTGTTTACAGCAAGCTAAATGGCAAAAAAATAGACAGCATCGGTAACATACTAAAGCTAGCAAACTCAGTCAATGACATAAAATTACATAAGTAAAAAAAATTATAGACAATTTCAAGGAATTTAAAGTTTGAGACGGCATTTAATACCTTGTACAGATGACAATGACATTCTTTTTTAAATCAATACCGACTGGAAGTTATATTATTCCACGTGCCCTTTTAATATTTCCGCTAGCAGAGAGAGGACTGCAAACCAACTTAAACAATCAGTCAAAATCCAACCAATGTTGAAATCCTACTGAAATATTTACAGTTAACTTCTGAAATTAAAATTGTAGCAATTTAACTACCTGCTTATCAATAACAATTCTTGCTACTAATCCCTATTATTGTTGATTAATGTCCTAAAACAATCAATAGACATTGAGCAAATTAGAAAATCTTGAACAGACACCGAATAGATTGTGAAACTTTGATGCTTATCAGACATCAAAGTTTCACATCTCTACAGAAATCTATCGATGACCACGGAAAAAATCTTCTTCTCCAATACTATCATTGATAATTCACGACCATATAATAACGAGGTAGTCATAACAATGGTTCATTTATATTATGAATTTCACATATTTTATCTCCCTTCTCCTCTTTCTCCTCCTCCATCTTTCTCTCCGTCTCTCTCCCTCTCTCCCTCAATCATTCTTACAACAATTAATACTGTCTCAGCGCTATTCTCAATCTTTTGCAGTATCATATCCACTCGGCTAATTTTGATCCACTTTTCTTAAATGAGATATCCATCAGTATGAGATATCGATCTTCAAATCTTTCTAATTCTTTTATTCCAATTATTATGATACCATAAAAATACTCTATGCATTTGCAATACCCGTATATAATCTACATAAACGTATACTTAATATATGACGCGATTTATCATATGTATTATGAAACTTGATTATACGATATACTAATACAGTACGATGATACTGTGTTTCATAATCTACAAATATTGACCATCAAATTATGACATAGCATTATATAAAATTAGCTTCTTAAAATCAATTCAGTTATTATTCTCATGCATCCCATTACGACCCGAAACATTGATAAGAAGTTTCAGGTCGTAATTAACATTGATAAAATACACAAAAATGTCATCCCTTAAAATATTGAAATCTTCATGAATGGCATCTCCCATTATTTTACATCGTATACTATTCTCATTCTATCGCTTATATTATATCCATTTATCTGTTTCTTTTTTTGTCCAAATCACAGTTTTTAAGAGTAAAAATTTATTAGTGATAATTAGGTTAGAGAGTGATGAAAAAAAGAACCAGTAATCATTTATTGCGATTCTCTAATAACCTATGAATGAAATCCTGATCGTTTGACCATATCGTACATTTGTAATGAAATAATCCGAAACAAGATCATTTAGGTATAGTTTCGTTTCATGATAACGTGGATTTTTAAATTTTAGAATGATACTCTTAGTGATGATAACAACTTCGATAGTTATAAATGACATACATGATTTCTTTTTCTTATCTCTCTTTCTTAGTAAGAAACAAAAGTTTGCAAGAGGAAGAGGAATAAGAAATAAGGATAAAATGGATAAAAGAAACAGTGCAAATGATGATAACTGTTTTAATTTCAAGTAAGTGGCAATGGTTACAAAACACTTATTGAAACAAAAGTAGGTACCGAAAAGAGAAGAAAAATTAAAACCAAAACAGAATGGAAGCTTTTCTACAATTATACAACACGTTAAACAATAACAAAATGCATGTTGAACTATGATACAAGAAAGCATTTTGTTTACTTTACAAATGCACAGCAATTTGTTGAAGCGAGTCTTCTGTACAATTATATACCCCTGAGTTGAAATTGTCTATACTTAATTACAACTTAGCATTTTTTTTCCAGTTTATTTACATTTGGAAACGAAAAGAACAATTTACCATAAAATCCATACACTTCCCATGTTTCTCTCAGTCTATATTCGCATGTCATGAGAGCATTCCAAGTAGAACAGATTGCTTCTGTTATGTAGAAGCAACGGCATAAAGTGCAATTAAAATTCCAAAAAAAAAGAAAACTGAAGAATGTTTTGCCCGTGTTAAACGAATTTATGAAAGAAGGGAAATGCACTCTGAGTAAAAAGCTTTTTGTTAGCTATCTTTTATTAATGATGATTGTAAGCAGTTCTTCTAAGCCAAATTTTTTTTTTTAAATTAGTAGTTTAAAAGCATTATTCATTGCTAATATATAATAAATATTTTGGAAAATAATGTTTCTAAATAGAATGAAAAAAATATTTACAACACTGCGCTGAGAAATAGAAAATAATTACAGGAAAGAAATGAAAAACTCGAAAAGTGAAAAAATGAAGTAAACAAAATAAAAGCAAAAACAAAAGCGAACAAAATAGAAGATAATACTTAAAAAAGCAATAAAAAGTCAAAAAATTATCAGTTCGCCCATAATAAAAAGGGGACATAAAAACTTTTGGCGAGAAGCATGCGAAAAAAATGCCTACAGAAGACGAATATACATTTAAATATTATAAGCTTTCATACAGTATTCTTAGAGTCTACTGATCAAATCAAATTCGGTTGCGAATAGTTGTTTAATTTCAAATTTGTTCATCATACAATACGAATTTGAAATCCTCGTAACATATTCACCCAGTCGAACTCTAAGCTCAATACAGATTCATCGGTAACACACATGAATTCGAATGTTCTGCAAAAGTATTGCGCAGAGGTAAATAAATCACTTCTGATAAAATAACTATTTGATGATAAAAAATAGAAAATCTAACAGACTTTCCATAGTTAAGAAATAATCTTTCAATCCCACTGACCCAGGAAGAAATTGTGGATATATGTTAATCATCTTGGCGTTAAATTTGCAAATTCGTTTACATATCAAATTCTTTCAGATGAAAAAATTAATCTTGCTGAGCAAAAGCTCTAAGAGGAAATAATAATTCGTAAAATAATTGACTGAATAAGTAAATGCTTCATCCGTTAACAGTAATCGTTCAAATTAAATCTGACTGCACTATTTACCTTGCTCGGAAAGACAAATATGTTGATACTAATCTGGTAATAAAAGAAGAGTTTTTGGAAGAATTTCTAATAATAAGACATATTCTGTCATGCTATAATTAACTTCGACGGGTCGCCTTACTAGTCGCCAGTGCAAGCCCAGTTTGTTATACAGCGTTTGATTTTCATGATCCAATAATTTCTCTAATGCATGCACCGTCTGAAAAAAAGAAAAACAGTATGGAATGCTAACCGATTATGATGTGCGGATGACATTGCTCGGTAAAAAGTGAATCGCTCCTTGAAATTTGAAACTGAGCAATAATTTTGTAAAGAAAGTATAGGAAAAGAAATTTTATAACTCTATAGACTTAAAGCTAAGAGTATCTCTGCTAAAACATTATTCTTTTAAGTATGGAAGAAAATACATTAGCACCGCTTAGTTTCTTTTTGCATAAAGCTGATACAAAAATTGATATACATGGATAAAATTAAGAAAAGTTAATTCTCACAATATGTCCTTTCACAATTTGTAAATCTTCATCATCTATGAAGTGCTTTCAGCGTAACGTTGCGATGGAAAAGGACATTTTTCAATTTCTTCACTTTAAAAAAATAGAAAGAATAAGATAAATATCGATTTGGATTAGCTTTTAAGCAAGTTTATTTCAACTCAATAGAAAAATTATTTAATGATAGAACTAGTAATTGTACTTAAACTTACACGTTTGTTCAAACAAACAACGGGCCATAGTGAGCAACCGATAGTACAACAGCAGAAGAGCAATCCACAAACGAGCCAACGAACGTTTCCTGACATACTTCTTGCCAACACACCGTTAATTTTTCGCATTGTATTAGCTAGCTCTTCCGGTGCTAAACGGCCAGTTAGCACAGTTGGAAATTCGGTATCAAATCGAGAACTCAGACCAAACCTTAAATCGTATATGCAGCTGCTCAAATGGATAAAGCAGTATAGAATAAATTCAGAAGCATAACTTTATGTTAGAAATTAAGGAACTAAATTATATGATTCTATCAATATAAGCCATTTTACTACTACAATTACTGAGACTGCTCAGTTCTCCACTTTCTTCCAAACTTTATAATGAGAACCATTGCTTCGCATGTTTTGGAAAAACGTATAAAGTTGACACTCAAACCAATTTTGAAATCATTGGTTGAATAAGATAGAATCAATCTAGTTTAATCAGTGTTTGAGAGCATTTTCTAGATTTGCTGATGCACTGATAACTACATTATTTTGACATTACAGAAAAGTCTCATAGCGATATCTAAGTCAGAGTGATGAAAATATTTTACTAATTTAATTTAAAAAGGGCATTTGTTACATTCGTCAGAACTGAGAACAAATTTCTCGAAAACGAAAAAAAAGAGAGCAGCCATAGCAATCCTAAAAAATTTTATTTTAAAATCAATCCAGAATTAAATGATTGAAACTGCAGAAATAGAATGGAACCTTAAAGGGATTAAATATAAAAAAACAAACATCGTTAGATGGCCAACTCCGCGAAAAACGATTGGCTCTTTGTTGCAAATAATTGGTGAAGGTATATCGTCAACAATTTCAATGATGTCGATATCGGACGACATCGTCCTTTCGGTACTTGTAGTTCTTGTCAGCACCTAGACTGAACTTTTTATCTAAAAGTAGCACGAACAAGACTATTAATTCGACAAAACTGATGATAGTAAACAATATAACAACTCTAATTGTTATGGTTCCGATTATATTAACGATTACAACAATACTGATAAATTAAGAAAACAAATCATTAATCACTTAATTCTATTTCTTCAAAAAAGAAGGCTTCCGAATCTGGAACAATTATGATAGCAAAAAAAAAAAAGGAAGTTGAATATTACAACCTAGAAGAGTTAATGTTTATCAACCTGTTAAACTGTATCATTTTTCATCTTAACGACAATACGAACTTGATATAAAATATAAGTTTTAAATAATAATTTCGGATAATTGAACTAACAGGTTAGAATGATGATCAATAATTAAAGAAGAAAATTCATTATAAAAGATCATGTCACTTATAACTTGAAATTACAATTAAATCAAAATAACAAGCAACCTGAAGTTTGTTGATGAAAATGAAAAATGTATATACGAAATGTTTAATTTGCACTAAATTTTATCGCAATTAATCAACTATTTGTGATTACAAGTAATGAACTATCAGTTGACATTAAAGCACATACACAAACATATACGTCTAACACACAACCTGCCTTCTCTTCCCACTACCTCTTCCCTTACTCTTTTCGGCTGTCCCGATCTCGTAAACTATCATTTCAGAATAACAAAACCAACTTACAAGTTTTAACTGCACGCACAATGCAATCATAATATCCAAACCTTATCATCGAACTGATACGAAATCGCTGTACGTGTTCCTCATTAATAGATGAGTTATTAATTACGTTAACGAAGTGTACAGTTTTCATGAAATTATAATACCAATTATATCATATCATATCATTCATGTATTACGCAAAAATTATGCGTCATGAGCTATTTGTTATTGGAAATTATCGAAAAGTCAGGAAATGACATTCATTTTCTGACTTTTCCATAACTTTTTAAAACAATTAATTGTATTAATTTCTAACAATTTATAAAAACTCCCGACTGTTATTAGGTATAGGCACAAAGGGATATTTTATAAGAAATTGCAACTAAAATGGCACTGAATTTTCTCGATCACATCCGTAATATTATCCATTTTGTCATTGCGCCAGACAGATTTCCATTTGCTTCAGAATGCTAATCTGATCCACAGAATTATAAGGCATAAAAAAATTGTAATAAGCATATATTATATGTATGATGCACCTGCCCCTCTTCTCTCTCTCTCTCCTATTTACTTCTAAAAATCAAGACTTTGCTCTTGAGATTTTTTGTACCACTATGTGAGGATTTTAATTTATTACACAAAAATTTTTATAGTAAAACAGCCCTTTACTGCATAAATATCAACAGCTAAGCAAAACAATATCAACATTTCCTCTGAAACAAAATTTTACTTTTCTTCTAATTATCATGAAATGAGTCTTAAATATATGATGATGAAACTAATAAGGGATATTTCGGATTATAACGACACATACAGTTGTGAAAATGAATATTACATAATGTGAAAAATTGATGAAAATATTATAATGATTGCTTAATTTCTACATATATGTATATAATGATGACAATATAAAAATAAACATGAACAAAAAACAGAAAGTTCTCCTACAGTCAAATTTTTCAACATGTAACAAATGATCAACAAGATATGAATATAGAAATAACGGTGACGTCCATTTCTCCACTTCCACAAATCATCTCATCGATACACTGCAATTTGGAACGTAAAACATGAAGTTTAAATATACTTTTGATCTTCAATTGTTCCATCATTTTTAATTCTCGATTCAATTTTAATGCAATTGTTTGCAACAACTCAATTTCTACTTTTTTATTGAAAATTTAGAAGACAAAAATTGAAGTTTTGAAAATGCCTTACTTCCCGGTGGTGGTTCCCGATAATGCACTTTGAACCATGATAAAACAGTTTCAAGAGTTTGAAACAACTGTTGTCGAAAACGAAATCCTTCTGGTGTTACGGTCATATACTCATGTCTTGCTTTGTTGCGCGGTAAATATGATATAACAAATTTTCCAGGATAATCTTGTGATGGTGTCAATGTATAACTATAAATGTGAAAAACCAAAAAATGATACATATAGAAAAGTGGAAGAAAAATTACATACTAAATTGAATATTACAATTAACCAATAAATGAATACAACCAAAAGAAAAATTGCACTAAGAAACGAAACACTCACGGTATTCGTTGTGGATTTCGCTTTTTTTCATCAAAGAGATAGCTCTCAATAGCATCTCGATCTTCGGCTCGTTTCCCATCCAGAAAATACTTGTGCGACAAAACATCACGAGCTAACGCGGCCATGGGTTGTATGTGACGAGCAAGGATTTCATCCAAATCTTCAAATTCCTGAAGATATTGCAATTTTATTAAAAAACGTGCAACAGGATTAAGAATATATGTAGGAAAAAAAAAAACATTTCAAATTCCAGATGATCTATTCGTTTAGAGTTAAAAACAGCTAACAAGCAAACAAAGATTATACGCAACTTTTACGCAAATATTTGCAACTAGCATGTAAGTTCGGCTATTTTCATATGACCAAAAAACATAATGAATGTAAGAACATACTTCTGTACCAATTAACAATGTTTTGCCAAGACTAAATTGGTGTTGCTTTCCTTCTTCTTTAATATCGATATGTTGATAAATACCATCAGCTACTTTCCATGTTACTGTTAGATGTGAAACGGATTTTGAGCTGGGTCGGATGATGGCTTCGCCCTAAGAAGTTCGTTTTCACAATTTAATTCATTAAAGCTTCAAAAATCAACAGCAAACATTTCAAATACTTACTTGTTCAAATTTTTGAAGCATTCGTTCAGCATCTTTGAAAGTAACATTATGAAATGATGGATGCGATATAACCCTTTTCACAAAATACGTTATAATCTTCCTTTGCTCCCTCAACTTTTTATCCTTTTCGTCGTCATCCTGCAATTGATAGTCAAAATAGATAAAAAATACACTGATTGTACCGCACAGCTAACTTAATTTTTCTATTACCTGGCATTTTAGTTTATCGAAGTAACGATCGAATTCGCTGTTCTGTGGCTGCAAGCCTCTCAGATCGGATGATCGACAAGAGCAGGTTGCCGAAAATTTATCTGGATCCAACTCTAATATTCGGCAATATATAGGTTGGTTGCGCTGAAAATTTTAAACATTCCCTAAGCCTTACATCAAAATGTTTATAAGCAAACTACACAATACAATTGAAATACTACTATGTGAAAAAGATGCAACAACCTCTTTTTGATTAAAAAAAGAAATGAAATTCTTACCCTAACCCTCTCGCCTGGATCCACAAACGAATCAGGCCGATCTGATAAGTACTTATTTGGAATGAAACCGGTTATGCCATTGTCGAACCGTACTTTTACACCGATTGGTTGGCCGGGACAAGAATCAATGTGTTGCCATACCTCAATTTTCATAATCCGTAAATAATTCATAACAATCAAAAATCCTTTAAATCTCACTGCTGAAAAATCAAAAGGTTTTATTAGACGAGAATCACCTCATTTGTATTGTTGAAGTCAGGCTTGTAACAATACTGGCATTTCCACTGACCCGTACGCTCATCTCTGATAGGAGGTACCCGCTCCCGTTCTTCCGGATCTCTCGGTTTGCGATAAATTATATGCATTACTCGCCCCATCACCAGTTTCCCTGAAAAAAAAAATGAGTTTTTTCGGTAATCCATAAATTCCATTAAAAAGTTATCATCAAAATGGGAAACATTGGCTTCTATATTGCACCTGGAAAGTGTAAGATAATTCCATATATACAAATGCAATACTAAATGGTTAATGGAATTAAATGAAATGAATTCATGTGCTAAATAAACTCAACAAGGAAACCGAATCAATAAAAAATCGAACATAGTAGACAGCAACAGAAAACTCCACACTGACCTATGGAATCAGAAGTTTCCTTTGTCAGCATCGTGAAAATCCTTTCAGCCGATGGACTTTCGTAAGGAACACGAAGATCTTTGTATCGATGATTTAATTCTGCTCGAATATCATACAATGTAATACTTTTGTTACCAAAACCTTGCCGTGCAAGTTCTTCCGCAAAAGCATCCAGATCAAGGTCCTAAAACCAAATAAATAATCAAGGAAGTAAACCAGTTTAATAATCAACCGTATACCGAAGCTAATCGTGGTTGCAAAACAATAATTTCAAAACTAAAAAGAATTTATAAAAAATACCTTAAGTTTATCTGGATTTTGCAGAATTTCTTCCAGAGCACTTGTAGGATCAGCAGCATCATCAATTTCCAGAGCATCGACCGCCATTTTCCGAGCCCACTCATATGTTTCTGGATGCACTCGAGAACCATCTAATACCTAAATTCAAACGAAATAAAAAAGCGCAGCGTAAAGATTCCCATTTTTCAAATACAGTAAACTTTTTGTGTAAAATAATAAAATAGTTCCTTAACATTTTAATCCTGTCTAAAAATTATTAATTTCAAGCACAATTTATAAATACCTCAACATAAGCATCAGTCCTTTCAGACACCTTCGCTGTATCAATCTTGATAAAGCCTGCCGAATTCATAAACACCTACAAACAAATTTTAAAGATGGAGATCAGTAATATCAAATTAGAGATGAATAAAACAGCTTTTTTGGAAAATTTCTTTTAGAAACTGGAATATAAAAACCAAACCTTCGGTCCCATACGACATAACGTGACTAATTTTGTCCGACTTTCCAACAGATTATCATTTTGTTTCAATATTTTCAATAAATGCACTGCTTTTCTCGGCCCTAAGCCACAAACAAATTGCAGCAAATACGATGTATGAGGGTATTCCAAACAACGATTTACATCCACACCTACTTCATTCACTCTATTTATGAACTCCAGTGACAACGCAAACAACAATTCTTCCTATAATAAGATCACATCACTTGGTGCAAACATTATCTTAATTCTTTAAAAAAAGACCGGACAGATCAAAGGTACAAATTTGATCTTTACTGCTCCCATATAAAAGCATATATCCGTAGAGAGTATGAAATATTACCTTGTTAACCTCACTTTGCAACGGATGATATGAAACACAAAGAATGTCATCTTCTGTATTGCATAAATGAGCATATTCTATCAATGGATCCAACAGCAAACGGCCTAAGGAGACTGCCTGACGCAGTATTGGTGGATAATTAGGGAATTCCGTCTATAAAGATATAAATTTTTTTATGCTCAAAGTCAAAAATTTGTCATTCTCACAATTATACGTGAAATATTTTATCAAATTAATTTAGTATAGTTGTACAAGAAGAAAATTGAATTAAATAACATTACGTACCTACACACTGTTTCAGTTGTATTCACTATTCTGTGCTAAATAACAATATAAATTCTAAGCGCTAAGCCTTGTATTATGGTTAAAAAGTCATGGTGATTATTATGCAACATAAGAAGTCAAGATTTGGTAACTTAAACTACGTCACTCGACGAATAAAACTTTTTAACCATAATACTGCAAAATATTACCAAGCACTTAGTAAAAATATTGCCAAGCACTTACAATCGCCTGTTTGCTGTGCATATAAATTCTGGCTGCTTCATTATCTACAATTTCCACGGAAATTTCTTTTGCTATTCCAGAAATTTCGTGCAATAAAGATTCGATATCTCGTCGAAGGTAATAAGCATCCATATTTTCACCACATATTGCAATGACATGAGGTCGACGTTTTTCGATAAATTTGCGCAAATGAAGCATATCTTGACGCTAAAAAAATCAGAAATAAATAGTGATCAAGAAATGAAGAGTAGAATAGAATGGGCTTAAAATGATTAATTTGATACTGATTTTAGATCACAACCACACTGTATGGACAACATAAGCAACAAAAAAGTTCTTAATATAGCTAAGAAAAAGTTTTCACATGATCAACTAAATGAATTCTAACTTTCGAAGATAAGATGAATACATAACCTTTAGATCCGCTTCACCCGGTTTTATTGAATTTATACTTTTCGTAATATGAACCAGCCGAAGATGATCTAAAACTTGGCCATCCTGATCAATAAGAGCACAAAATGACGCCTGATCTCTGAAAGCACTGATCTATTTTGGCCATAATTCTCACTGAAGAGCTGTTTATCACCTCAGATATTTCAATATGTGATTCAATTCCGCATATCTTAAAACAACAAATATTAATGACGTTACCTTTCTTCAGGATACACAATACTTAAAACTCTTGTTCCACTACTAAATCCACTCTCAAAATCGTCATCATCGTCATCATTATGCATGTTACGATATGCTGCAGTTTTAATTCGATCATATAAATTTTGGGTGCTTTGCTGAAATTCGTTCGTTCAGCAGAAAATAAATTCCTTGAAACCATTTTAGTTCAAAATTATATGATCAAAATAACCATAGCCTACAACCCATATTCAAAAAATGGTAATGTCAAAAATAAACTACATAAGTCTGAAGAACATACTTTAATCACATAATCTCTTGCCTCCTGCAGAAGCCTCTCATGAGCTTCACGTTCAAATACCGGCAGAAGAAAGTTGTTAACACAAACTGTTACTGCTTCTTCTCTTCCCTTATTCCACATATCGACGACACGAGAATATTCATCTCTGAAAGGAGATCAGTTTCTTGAAAGAAACAGTGAATACAACCCTCAAATTCTTCATCACTCCCACCATTTCAAAGTTCAAAAAAAAAATCAAAAACACTTTCTATCAACACATTTTTACCTATAATAGGGTTGCTCAGAAAGAAATTCTTGAAGCAGCGTCTTCTTGAATCGAATATCTTCTTCTGTATCGCAGTGCAGCTTTAAATTCAATAATCCACCAGCGCGCGCCTAGAAGATAGAGTTTAGTTTTATTTAGTGCTTTCATTTTAAAAATATCAAACTTTATACCATCCTTTAAAGAAATAATAGTGATTCGTAAAAAATCAATAATCACACAATTTCTGTAAAAAATCTTACAGCAATAGCTCGAAAACCGTTAAGAGCACCTACCTGTACATACCACAAATATTCATCATGTCGTAGACTTGCAACTGGTTTGTCGCGTACGTATCTAAATTACAAAGAAGTTTACTGCACTCAAGTTGAATTCTTGTGATCACGGCTTGTCTCCAGAACTTAGTTATGTAAGAAATATCAATAAACTATATAGAAATAAAGAAATCCTTTACCTTCTGGGCCACAATTTGTGATTCTCATCGATTTCTTCGCGACCCCTTTTTGTTGGACAAACCGAAATTTTCAAACGTAATCTATATCGTGATCGCAGCAGTTCACGTACTTTTGGTTCTCGGCTTAGCTGCTTAGCAACAACATGAATAGCACCAGCTAATACAGCTTCTGGCGTGGGAAAACTTTGGCAGACATATTGTTCGGCTGCCTTCAATGGCTCTTCATCGTCTTGCACAATATCATGTCGCTTCCAGTCAAGATTTTCTGCAAACTGCAGAGGAGTCAAACCAAAACGTGAAGCCATTGCAGATAACCCATTCTGGATGCAAAGCTGGAAATACGAGACAAATAAAAAACTAGGTAATGAATCGTAAACAGAAACTAAGCATGAAAGGCTGTTAATTAACATAGTTATATTCATTTTTTCTTCAAATATGTGGAAAAAGATACATACTGGAACATACCATATATTTATCTGTTCTTGTAGCGGCACGAAAACGCATTTCAGCAGCTTCACGTTCAGGATCATCTTCACTCAAGTTTTGAATTTTCTCCCAGTCTATCATTTTAGGTACTTCCGGGCCGTAATACAGCTGGAATTTTGTCGAAACATCCATCAAACCTTCTACTGTTTGTACTCCATGCACTCTGTAATATCAAAACAATTTTTAGTTTCGAAATGCAGTAATGTACATTACTGACCTCCTTATACAAATCGCTAAAGATACAAATCAAAAACCAATGCTTACTCATTCATATCCTGCTCAGTAACAATACGCATCCCAGCTGTATTATCGTTCTCCATCTGATAATTCAACATCCGTTTCATCAGCTCTAATAAACGTTTCTTTCTTTGTTGAAGATGGCACCACTAAACGAGAAAACAGACAATTTTTTAGCTCTTAAATATGGACAAGCAAAACTAGAATAAGAGGCACCTTCTCATCCCATTGATATACTTTCCATAAATCGTTGATTACCAAACACGATTCCACATATTCCTTACGGTAAAATGCTATGAATGGCACCTATAAAGTATGACTTGAAAATAAATCAAAAGCTCAAATACTACAAAGAAATATAATATCAACATAAATTTAATACTAATGCTTGTTTACAAAATCAAACATATTACAATCATCAACGAAACTAAAATATTTACCTCGAATAACTGATTTCTTATGAATTTCAAGGCTTCTTTAATTTTATCTGGTGCCTCTGCAGCAATTTTAGCTCGTTCATCAATGCGAAGTTCAGGATTTGACAACACAGTGAGACAGCTTTCTTCCTAAAATTGTAGTTTAGAGGTTATCCGTGATGAAATTTGTAAAATTTTGGCAATCATAATGAAGAAGAAATAGCATTTCTTCAATTACCATCAAATTTATTGCTGAATCCACATTCAGACTAATATTTAATAAAACATTTGATGATAACAATTTTCAAGATAACAGAAGTATGTGAAAAATTAAAAGCTTCCAAAGATACCGAGAAAAATAACAGTCATTAATTCCCATGTGAAATCACTCGTCAAAAATAAATAATACCTGTTCTGATAAAGTTGCATTATCAAATGCATATTGGTAAATCCATTTGGCTTCAAATTCAAGTTCGTGTTCATCAGCCTCAGTCACCGGAACCCGGCGAAGCTGTAAGAATATTAATCAGAAAATACAGTTTTGAACTACCCATTTTAATTCAGCAAAAACGAACATTAAGACATAGAATTAATTGTAGTAAATTAAACCACTTGGAAACGTTCAGGACGATCATCCAATTGTATACGTTTATCCATGGGACCAAGCAGCTTCTCTTCAAGCTCGGCAGGTTCAATTGTATCCATCAAAGTAGCCTGCTTTTCCTTTGGCTTTATTTTACGGGAACGCGATATATCCCTTCCTTCTAGTTCTTCTTGCTCTTCATCTTCCGGGTATTCGTCCTCATCTTCGCCTGGCTGGAATGAAAATATATTCAAACAAATAAATATATGCAAGTATGGAGATACTGGGAGAAGCTGATAAAAAAATAACAACACGAACCTCTGCATCTTCGTCATAAAACTCAGCAAAATTAAAGTCATCGACTCCAAATATCTCCCGCGCGTCATCAATAGCTTGTTCCGGCACATCTGCAAAACGATAACGTCGCTGTCGATGTTGCGGCTGTTGCCCATCATCCGTAACAATGAAGTCGTCTTCTGAAACAGGAAACATAATGAACAGTTAATTATCTGGCAAATGTCTGAAATTTCTAAATCATCGACAGTGAATGAAATATTACCAGAATGTTCGCTCTCTGTGCCTGAACCCTCTTCGCCATCATAAACATGTCGTTCTGATCCTCTGTAATCACTGCGTTGATCATCACCTCCAGCCAAATCATCCTTGAAAAATGAGACAATTTGCTAGTTAGCAAAATTTTTCTAACTTCTAGGAAAAAAAATTCAACATTACATGAACATTATTTATTACTGCTTTTACAATTTCATTGGATTTTTTGGGTATCAATTTCCTTAATAACGTCACAATTTGGAGAATAAACAATCCGAAAAAATAGATAAAACAATAACCTTATCATAAAGATTACTCTTGCTACGGTCATGGTCCTCTTCTTCATCACTCTCAATGACCACACGACCACCAGTTGGACGCTGCTGTATGTCTAAGTTATCATTTAGTAAATCCAAGTCTTCATCGTCCAATTCCAGATCATCGTCTTTTTCGATATCACTTCTGTCATCGTCCTAAGAGATATAAACGTAAAGCAATTCAGATAATTTTTATACTTGAACACTGACTTTTACTTCTAATAAAAACTGACATACTTGACGATTTACATAGTTGACATTAACAAAAACAAACTAGCGTGAAAAAACACCTTGTTACAGCTAAAACTAGCATAAATTTTTAGAAAATCTACTGAAAGACAAACAAATTAAAGAGAAGGCGAACCTTATTATCGTCACATATAAATAAAGCGAACCTCATTATCGTCACCTTCATCTTCATCAGCTTCGTCTTCATCGACAACGAAACCGGCCATTTCCTTTTGAATTTTGGCTTCATCATCTTCACCATCGTCATCCTCTTCATCATCCTCATCATCACTGCAACAACCAAAGATTCCAAATTCAAATCCACGAAATAAAAATAAGACCGCTATGTAAATTAGAGAAAAATATATTAAAAAATAACTGCAAAAAGTATCTTAAAACGGAAAGGATTCATAAAATAGATATATAGCCTTCAGATTTTTTAAAAAACTGATTCTTAAATAAATATGTTAATTTTATGCACAAATTCCATCTTCAAGCTTCTAAGGAAATCATTCTTTCAATTGGTAACTTGTTCGCAGACTCCTCCATCTACTACGAACGGCACAAAGAAAATGTTTCAGTGTCCCGAAAGCAATACTGAACAAAAGATGAAGAACTATAGATATATATTTCTTATTGCTGCCTGAATGCAGTAACTGAAATCATATTAAATTATGTATCGCTACAATAATCTTACATAAATTAAAGTGTAGCTAAAATCCAACCTCCTAATTCGTTTTTTCTTCCTTGCGTTCTCCTTCTTCTTCTGCTTTCGCTGTCGTTTAGCTCGAGGCTCTAAGTCATTATCATCAATGGATGTATCCGTCGTTTCACCAGAATTTTCCGACTCCTCCGCTTGATTGTCCAAAAATTCCGACATTCTTTTCTTATATTTTCCTCATTAATTCCCCAAATTGTATATCTTGTCTGAAAACCAGAAACTCTTATTTTTACTCAATAAATCCAAAAGAATATTTTGTACAGCATGAAGTAAACAATGCATAACAGAAAGTGATTTTTAAAGAAACACACATACACGTACTGATATTACTGAAAGACCCTATACTATTCCTGCTAGTATGATGTATCAAATGGATGAGTGAATAATTGATTTAATCATTTAATTTGTATTTTGTAAATAAGTAATCGGAAGTATAGTTGCCACATATAGCAATGAAACAACATAAAGATATACATATAGAATAAACCATACTTCTTAATAATAATTGATTATCCAAAAAAAACGTCAAAAAGTGTCGAGTAAATTCAGAGGGACCGTAACACCCTCCCCGTAGGATCCCCAATGGTCACACACAAATCAGTACAATGTCCTGCGACCACATCTCATTCTGTTACAAGTTCTGGCGCGGAACGCAAATTGTACATCTCACAGTGATTGCCCAATACATTATGTTATCTGTTCATTGTAATTCGGTGAAATGAATAAGTGTGTAGTTTGAATGAAAATAATGGATAATTATGTAATGTTTAAAATTAAATCTGATTAAATTAATGAACCAATTCGGATTCAAAAAACTCACAATTGATTAACGGTGAAAATTTTCTTCCCCTTTTTTTTGCAGGAAACTTTTGATTTGAAGCTTGAAAAACAAGAAAGAAAAGAATTATTGCATTAAAAAAAATATTACATTGATGAGCG